TGTGAGACCCTGCCACAGCGTCGTTTGGCGAGTGGTGCATAGGTCTGTGCCCGGGATCTGAACCTGTGAACCCCATGCCGCCGAAGCAGAGCGCGTGAACTTAACCACTACGCCACCGGGCCAGCCCCAAGCTGCTTCTTTTTTAAAGCTGTGATTTCTTAAATATCTCTCCCTTTGGAGCAGCTTAGTTTTTTAAGGTGATGGAGAGTAAAGAATTGTTTCTCCATCATCAACTGAAGACCGATGGCCCCAGTACAAAATATGAAGACAGTGTCCATGAGAGCTAGAAGGAGGCAGAGGCAAACCTCATGAATCTGAGCTCCTATTGCACAGGCTGTCAACTTCCTGGGTGTGGGAGAAGAGCAGAGCCTCAACCGCACCCTCCAAGAGAAGATGTAAATTCACTCAAGACAGGAAGTGTCCTTTGACCCGGTGCTACTGGGCAGATTGGAAATAGGAATCTTGATAAGGATTCAAGTCATTTTTATTTAGGAGAGTGACTAGGAAATGCTATGGGGTTGTAGGAACTCCTTTCTCCTTGAACATCTGACTAAGAAGTTCTTATAAAAGCAAGCATTCTCTAGCACTCACCACAGGCGAGCCTGTGTGTTACATATGCTGGTTTATTTAATCCACAAAACAAAGCTCTGACCTGGGGACTGTTATCACCTCATATTGCAAGCGAGGAAACTGAGGCACCAAGATATTAAAATACTTGCCCCTAAAACACCCAGCTATTAGTAAATGTAGAAGCAGGAATTCCAGCTTGGTTCTAGAGTCTCTGTCCTTCACCACTTAACCACTGAAAATAAAATACTGTGTGGGTATAGAAAGATTAGAATTTTAATGCTAAGTGTCATTATCTCCAAGTGGTGGGTTTACGGTTAATTCTCTCGTTTGCTTTTCTGTTTTTTCCAAATTTCTACCATGCATTGCTTTTGTAATTGGAGAGAAAATAATAAATGCTGCTTTTAAATCCTGACCCTAAAATCTACAACCTACAACAGGCTGTGAAGATCACTGTCCTGGAGGGCCCTGGAGAAGAAATCACACAAGCAGCCTCAATTGCTTGATTTGCTAATAACCAGACTATAGAGTAACACCAAGGAAAAGGGGCTCAAACGTGTCCCTCTGCCCTCCTGCAAGCAGCCAATAAACTGTCCACCCCTCGCAGCGTCACTCGGGGCTGTGTGGGTGATGGAGTCTCAAAGGAAGGATGAATTTCCAGCTCCAACGACCCTGAACAGACGAGTTGGACGTGATGGTGGATCTTGGCACTGAAAGGACACAAATACGCTTTCACACAAAACTTTGCATTAAAAGTCATAATGCAAACGTCCAGTGGATGCGTGTATGCAGCAATGGACAGCTGGAATTTGAAATTAAAATGTCATGCCACAATCCAGTTTAATTCACAAAATACATGTAAAGAGGTAGGAACCTCTTTACATCCAACACACACATAATGGATGTAGGAACCAACTGAAATTTTAAAATATGACCAAGCCAATTTGGACACAATTTTAGGAATACTTTCAAGGTTTATCATAACAGATATTTAACACAAACACAGTCAAAAAGACATAAATGCAGAGGGGGCAAACCAAAATTGAGAAAAGTGACCATGAGTTGAGACCTCTTATTCATCCTCAAAGAGAAAAATCCCAGACTTACACAATGCTGATAACTTCTTGTACTGATTACCTGCCTCTTTCCTTATCCTTGTCTTTTGAATAAATAGGCAGATTTTTCTTTTTAATTTCTCCCTCTTTTTGAAAGTAAGAGGATGGCTGGTAGGCACTGAGGTCTCCTGTTCCTGGGTTTGTGTATCTGCGTCAGGGTGAAGCATTGAAGTGGGCACTGCGCTGAGCCCCTCAGACCCTCCTTGGAGAATGAAGGACTTCCTCGGCTGCTGGAGGTGCCGGCAGCAGAGGCGCCCAGCTGTCACCCTCTTCAGCATGGCCTCTGGGGCAGAGTGCCACCTTGACGAAGGCTGTGGCCCTTTCCTGGGCAGCCTGCATTCAGCAACTGGTAATGCAACCATATAAAAGCCTTAACTAGGGACAACTCTGCAGGGTCATTTCTGCCCAGAGCTCCCCACAGGGCCGGCAGAGGCCTTGGCTGAGACTGAGCCCCGGCTCAGTTTCTCCCACTGCATCTCCTGCTTCCCTCCCTTTCCTTCCACAGGGGTTGGTCCCAAGATGTAAGTGCAGCCGGGGGATGTTGTCCCTGGCTGGGTGTTCACTTCCCAGCAGGATCTTGACACCAGGGGAGGAACATCAGGAGTCTGGCGGACGGTTGGCCCGTCTGCCACGCTGACTCTACAGGCCACGGCCTCGCAGCCCGTCTCACAAACAACACGAGGAAGGAGGGCCGGGCCGTCTTCCTCACAGATTCAGGAAGTGCATCAGAGAACAAAGAGGACACTGGAAGACTGGCAGGGATCACGTCAGAAAGTCGAGTGGGGCTCCAGGGGACCGCAGGAGGCAGGATGGCAGCTGCTTACCCGCTGTTTGGTCTAATCCCCAGAGCTGTCCCGTCCCTGGTACCGAGGTCGCACCGTGTTAATTAAATCATCCTCATGAATTCAGCCGGGTGTAAACTAGGGAGGAATGAAGATAAATTAGGTTTGAAGGCAGCTAATACATTTAACCCCATGCTGCTTGTTTTGTAGCCGAACAAAATAACGTTGTTAAGGGAGATAACAAGGCCAAGCCTTGGGCACAGCTTCTCAACAGCATTTAAAAGGAGACCTTGGTTTGGAGTCACAGGCAGAGGCGAAGACCAGCTCCCAGGGGCTGCCGGGCTGGCCAGCATCCGGAGTGAGGTGGTGGCCATCGGACAACACGATGTTCGTAGTGTCTCCTGGGTCGTTTGTGCCTCAGATTTCCACTATGTCCCTCGTCATCCTTTGATCACAGGCCTGTCTAGAGAGTTCTTCCTGTACAGATACGAGACTTGCTCACCTTCTCTTCCCATGAGGGAAGTGATAGGAACTCCCTTTAGGACTGGCTGAGAGATGCTGGAGGAACCAGTCTGAGCTGCTATGATCATAAATACGCTAACTTGCAAATCACTCTAGCTGGGAAACAAACCTTAGAAACTGCCCCCAGGCCTGAAAACTTGTCGTACACTGGTTCAAGCAAACCAGTGTAGAGTTTGTGGGAGGGCACTGGCAGCACACGTTTTCCCCAAAATGCAAGTTTAGTTTGTGTCTCTCTGCAGGAAAATGTGTTCCAGTCGTTATACGCCACACAAGCTCATTTGTTTTCCCTGTCTCATGCTAAGTCCCTGAGGCAGATGAAGCAAATGCGTATGGTCACTGAATACATCTCAAGATTTCCCAGGCTACAACTTCTTTTCCTTCTCTTTTCTTGAAGCATAGAAAGGTGGCAACATCAGGCAGAACAGACAGAGGAAAACGGCATGGCTGGATGCCAACACAACGGCCAGAGGACCGCACTCCTTTCTCAGCCCGGCCTGCTTAGCAAAGCTGTTTGCAAAGAGAAGTAAACTTTGCTGTCCCTTGGTTGAGGATACTCCGCCAGTTCCCGGTGGTAAAGATGCCACAGAAACAGACTGCCTGTTCCTAGCCCAGTGCCTTCCTAAAAGCCCCAGCCAACCAAGAATGAGCTGTGCACACGTCTTATTTCTCGGCAGGGTCATCTAGGTACAGTTCCAGGTAGATTTGGTAAGTGACTGAAGTGAGAAGGAAATACTTCTCCTGAAAGAGAAAAAGTGTTAATCTCTTAATTTAAACAGAATATCGCCTCCTGAATGGAAGACACTAACATCTGGTCCTCAAAACCAACGGGTTTGCTTTTGACCCACAACCCAGACAAAGTGTCTAGGAGGTGCCTTGGAGGCTGCCCTGAACGGCGGCTCCCACACCTGGCCACAGGCTACATAACATGTTTTAAAAAGCCAGGTGTGCAATAGCTACACATTTCCACCTCCCATCGTTTCCGCACCTCTCTCCGGCCTCTGCAGCGCGTCCACGCATTTGTCTTCGCTAACTTCATCCACATCCCCTTCAGGCTCAGGGGCGCCTCGCTGTGCCAGCATCTCCGCACGTGGGTCTCACTGTGAATTGATCCCCCCATTCCTGTCCCTCGCTTTGTGAAGCAGCCTCGAGCTGAGACTCTGCATAAAAAATTAAAATGTGAAACAGATTTGTAGAGGCTCATGGTGAGGCTGCCGAGTTAATGCTAACAAAGGACTTCAGAGGGCACTGTCTGTCTTTGTTTGCAAGGAGCGTAATTTCTCAGCGCGAATACCAGGAGGGGCCGCGGGTGAAGGAAAGCGGGATTAGAGTCAACAACCCACAGGGTCTTGGTTTCAGCAGTCTCTGGCCTCCGGGAGCGCCAGGCAGAGCCTCCTCAGCCTCTTTAAACCACTTCTGCGTCTAGTACTTAGACGCAAGCTGGGAGGTGGGGGAGTGGAGAACGGAGGAAACGCTGTCGCGGATGCCCACTGGAGCTGCGTGGGGGCCGCTGCTGAGTGGCTGCGTGACCTCGAGCTGGACAATCCACATCTTCCTGGGCCTCAGTTTCCTAACCTGTAAAACGAGAGGGCTGGACCGGTAATCTCTACAGTTCGTTCCTAGTCTTTATTTCAAATACCTAATAAGAACAGAGGTTTTAGCTCCCAATGGAAAGACAAGCCGTAGAGCCAAGATCGAAAATGGGTTTCATAAATAGTGATCGCCATGCGAAATTATTTTTCGAATCGCCTTCCTTTTTGGTGGCAGGCTGCGCTTCAAACGTGTGTGCCGGGCCATTTCTTTGCTGAAGTCCACACTAACACAACCGAGCGATAAAAGACAGGAAGGGCGCAGTCTGGGAGGGCGATGGAGGCTTTACGCCCCAGACAGGAGGCGGCGCGGCCGCTCCGCCGAGCAGCTCGCTTTGAATCCAGCGGCCGCGGCGATTGGCTGCGAAGCACGTGGTGCGCGCCCCGCCGGCCCGCTCCGGCCGCGGCTGCTCGGGGCGGCGTGGGGCAGAGTCCGGCCGCGGCGTCTCGCCACGGGCTGGGGAGGGAGGGCACAGGGCAACGCCTGGGGCTCGAGTCTGTCTGGCCCCTGCCAGCGAGAATCCCTACGTCCCGTCTTTGCTCAACCTGCAGTGTCCCCGCAGTGTCCAAACTTGTGCCCCTTCCCTCGCCACTGTCCTCCCTCCAGGTGTCCCACCCAGCGCACGGACTGTGCGCGCCTAGGACGGGTGCCGCGGACACCCAGCTCGCCCCTGCCACCCTTTTCCGAGCAGCTCGGGGGCTCCGGCGGCGTGGAGCACACAGCCCTATGCTGCGCTCCCCCGCCAAGTGTCCCTCAGCTCCGGGCTATCCATTAACCCGGCTGGGCCACAGAGGCGCAGACATTCCGACCCGGGAAAACTTGTTTTATTCGCGGTCCCCGAGGGTTGCAGCTGCTAGGGGCTGAGCTGCCGCGTCCGCTTTGTCTCTCTCCGCTCTCCGCAGCCCCCTCCCCCGCTTCCTCTCTCGATTACCTCCCCCGACACGCTCTTCTCCAGCTCTCTCCTCCTCCTCCTCCTTCACGCCTCCCCCCGCCTCCCCCGGTGTCACTCTGCATACGCGCCCTCTCTCTCCCCTCCCCTCCCCGCCGCGTTGCTTATAGCCGGGCGCGCCGCGGCGGGCGCAGACTGCTCGGGCAGCCGGAGAGGAGGCGGCGCGGCGGTGGCGCTGCGGAGACCCAGTCGAGACGCCTGGCGGCCGCCGCGCACGGCGCTTCCTAGCTCCCTCCCCCGAGCGCACAGCCCGCCTCCTTCCGCGGCGCCGCAGCCGCAGGCTCGCTCCCCTCCCGAGACTCGCTCGGGATTCGCTCCGCGGGTCGCGGGCACAGGGTCCGCGGCGAACCGCCAGCCGTAGCCGGCCCGCGAGCAGCGCCCCCGGCGCGGTCCTCTCCCCAGCTGGCGCCGCACGCGCGCTCCCTTCGCCCGGGCAGTCGCCGCCGCTCCCCGGGGCTCAGACATCCGCTTCGTCGCCTCCCTTCCCGGTGACCGAGGCAAGAACCCAGCTGGTTGTGCGCCGCGGCCGGTCGCCTGTGCTGTAAGTTCCTGCACTGCCCGGAACCTGTTGCGGGCGCCGCGGTTTCAGGGGCCGCGTGGCCTGCGGGGGTGTGTTCACCGGGGGCGGGCGTGCGCCCCGGAGCCCGGAGCCCGGACTTGGGCGGAGGTGGGGAGCTGTGCTTGGGGCGGAGACCTCGGTGTCCGGAGCTGCCCTCTCACAGCAGGCAGGAGCCGGGCATCGCCGGAGGGCCTCCCCAGGGCGGCGCGGCGCCCTGGCGAGCTGCGGGGACAGCGAGAAGCCGAGCTGGGGGACGATCACCTCCCTCCCCACGGAAGCCAGCGCTTCCCTGGGGTGGGGGATGTTTCGCTGCCCGCACTTCGCAGCCCCCGGGGCCGAGCGCGCGCCATCGCTGGCCCAAGTTGCACCCTACCCGGCACGGGGAGCACTGGGGCCACGCGCAGACATCCCTCCTGAGGGCACGCGCACTGCGGCGGCATGTGTGTAGGGAATGAATGAAAACTGGTTTCTGAAAAGTTGTTTCTTCTCATTCAAGTATTGGGCCTTTAGTGTAACATTATTCGTTTGGAAGGCTAGGAATTGGTGGGCGTGGTGGAGACGAAGCATTGAACTCGTCGGCATGTAATTTGGTGTCGCCCTCAGAGGCATGGCCAGCGTGTTAAAGAGCGTTGCAAGTGGTATAGAGGACTGAACGGTAAAAGACTTCTCTTATTAACAAGATCTTGATAACGTTCCAGTGTTATCAATAACGTAAACGCCCGAGGAAATCTGCTTAGTTTCTCCTTTGATTGCATTGAGATCCGGTTCAAAACCTCAAGAGGTGTGAGGGGACGCGAAGCATTGGAGGCGGAGAGCCTGGGTAAGGAGCACTGAGTGAACTGAAGTTACTGTAACTAGAAGCCCTTTTGATGTTCACGATAATAGCAGCTCTTTTCTCTGTCTTCTTTGTAGACGCAGGTTAAGTGCATGTGTGCCTTTTTTTGGCCACTTACTTGGCATGCAAATGTTATTTCTCTGGGGGCTTAAAAAGTGCCGGAAGGATGATTCATTTTATGTTGAAGGTGTGTTTACTGACTGTATAAAAGGTTTCTGCTATTTTGATGTTTGCATAATTTTAAACCAGAAAGCAAGTCGTTTCCCTTGAGTCTTCAAGTTTACCTTTTATTTTAATCATATATTGCTTCGAGAGTGTTGGATTTTGACTGTGACATGCTTCTCCACCTGGATAGTATCCAAGAGGACGGGCTAGGCTCTTCCTTCTGGCTTTATGGGCCAACCTGGAAAATACAGCAGCATAAACATGATGCAGAGAGATGCAGACCCCATATCCTCAGGTCTTCTGAACAAACTGTTTCCTTAAGCATGGGCCTGGCTGTGACTGTGGTTTCTCTGCCCGGAAGCTAATGCTCAGGCGAACCTGTTCTGGCCCCCTCTGATTCCTTCTCAGTGTGCAGACACTTCCCGTGCGCAGGGGCTCCTGCTTCAGTAAGAGCTGCATCCTCTTTCAGCCTGAGAGGAGACGGCTTTTGAGGTTGCTTTGGAAGCATTAGCTTAAAAAAAAAAAAAAAGAAAAGCGTAGCTACTCATTTAGAATTTTTTTAAGTTTGTATATTAGGCGTAGGAGTATTTATACTATCTTTTGAGGTTTAGGCTTGAAATCTTCCTGAAAGTACTTCAGATTGAATGTGCTGATCCCAGTGACAGCTACAATGGTAGAGCATCGGGATCCTGACCGTGGTTTAGCACTTTGGCAACCTGGTGCAATCACACGGGGTCATTGGGTTGTTCTCTGGAGCACTGGCATTGGTTCACATGGACTCGACTCTAGAGGCTGAGCTTGAGGTGGGGTGACCCCCAGCTCCTCACCACTTGTCATATCCCAGCTCACTGAGGAGATGAATGGGTGCTTTGTAAAGTCTTCCCAACACCAGAGCCCTGAGACTTCGTTGCTTACTGTCTTCCACTACGCCCTGTTTACTCGGAATGGAAAGTGACGTTACAAAAATAAAGGAGAACAAGTTGCATCCCCTGCTGGTCTGTTTCTGCCCACCACAGCTGGCTGGGGGTGCAGTTCAGGGGCTAGCCCATGAATCTGTGGTAAGTCTCTCATTTGCATTTATTAATAATTCCTGGGAAATAAATTAAAAAGTAAATATCTGAATGGTTAAGGAAACAAGGAGGCTGTGAGTTTCAGCTGTGCTGTAAGGACTGGCTGTTCCGTGTTTGGAACAGATACTGTAACCACACGGTTTACCCTTCCCGGATAAATAGCCTCCTTAGGGATCTGTTTTTTTATTTTTATTGTCGGGAAGATCAGCCCTGAGCTAACATCCATGCTAATCCTCCTCTTTTTGCTGAGGAAGACCGGCTCTGAGCTAACGTCTATTGCCAGCCCTCCTTTTTTTCCCCCCAAAGCTCCAGTAGATAGTTGTACGTCATAGTTGCACATCCTTCTAGTTGCTGTATGTGGGACGTGGCCTCAGCATGGCCGGAGAAGCGGTGCGTCGGTGCCCAGGATCCGAACCCGGGCCACCAGGAGCGGAGCGTGTGCACTTAACTGCTAAGCCATGGGGCTGGCCCTTAGGAGGGATCTTTTGACAGGCAGGTTGTTAAAGGCTTTATTCCTTTGAAGTAACAGAGGGGTAGGGTTAAAGAGAAAAAAAAAAAAGAATGTGATTCAATTTTTGAAGATAGGTGATAGGCATTTCCTACATCTTTAGCCTAGAGTTCACGTACTGAAGAAAGGCGAAGATAGCATTCGATTCTGTTGTAATTTCAATTTAGATATTGAGGAAAACACCCTAGTCAGCAAATAAATTCTAGGGTGGCTCTAAATTAACAATGGCTGGCAAAACACACACGGGCACACGCATGCCTGTATACATCCACATGCGGGTGTGCGTGTTTTGATTTAGATACAGCAGTGTTGCTTTTGGAGCTCCCTCTCTGCAGGTGGTGGCGTTCGCAGGTACGCAGGAATGGTCCTGCGATGCACTGTGATCACAAGAGGGGGTGGATGGATCCTTTGTTCTTGCAGCTGGTTTTCCAAGAATTGATATAAAGCAGGAAGAACAGAAAAACAGCACTCATGAGTATTCTACTCAAAATATTCTTCCTTTTATGTGCCCAAATCCTCATTTTGGAAGCTGTCCAGACCAAGAAAGATGGGTGATGATTGTGGCTGGAATCTATTCTGTGTTTTCACAAAAGCCTGCTGATCAATATATGGTAATGTTGATATTGGGGCTCTTTTAGGACTCTGTAGTGGTAAAGCTGTCTGGTTAGCAATTATTTGTAACATTTAAATAAAGGTCTGATCGCTGCAGAACTTGGCCTAAGTCAGTGACTTTAAGGTTACATTTCCCATTTACTGGATATGTAGGGAGACTGGATCTTACCAAAGGAATTCTTAATGGAATTAATTAGTGGGTATTTGTTTTACACATGGCTTTATGTTGCATGTGGCGTTAAAACCACTGCCCATCCTGGCGTTATGAGAGCTGGAGGCCTGGCGCCGTAAGTGGCCTGCGGTGAATCAGCAGACAAGGACAGGGAGCTGTGAGAAGGAGCCCTGCTCCTCTTGGCTTTTGCTGAGTTACGTTCTCAAGGACTTCAGTATCCTGAAAGTTGGCAATCAGGTTTTCCAAGATGAACCTGCTTTTAAGCAGTGATTTTTTTTTACCAGTGTATAGTTCAAATAGTTCACCAGTATCGCGGTGAATGCCTTTCCTTCCGGGTAGCTGTCTCTGACTTTAGGGGAGTGGCCGCCCATTCTTCAGAACAGTAGGCAGCAGCACTTCACTCTGTCCGAAGTGATCGTCGCTTTTGTTCTGCTGTTCTGAACCTCAGGAACATCACGTCAGTTGTTGTGTTTTGTCTTTTAGGAGTGGAAACAAAATGTCAGTCAGCGTGCACGAGAACCGCAAGTCCAGAGCCAGCAGCGGCTCCATTAACATCTACCTGTTTCACAAGTCCTCCTATGCTGACAGCGTCCTCACTCACCTGAACCTTCTGCGCCAGCAGCGCCTCTTCACCGACGTCCTTCTGCACGCCGGAAATAGGACCTTCCCTTGTCACCGGGCGGTGCTGGCTGCCTGCAGCCGCTACTTCGAAGCCATGTTCAGTGGGGGCCTGAAAGAGAGCCAGGACAGCGAAGTCAACTTCGACAACTCCATCCACCCGGAAGTCTTGGAGCTGCTTCTTGACTACGCGTACTCCTCCCGGGTCATCATCAATGAAGAAAACGCGGAGTCGCTCCTGGAAGCTGGCGACATGCTGGAGTTTCAAGACATCCGGGATGCCTGTGCAGAGTTCCTGGAAAAGAACCTGCACCCCACCAACTGCCTGGGCATGCTGCTCCTCTCCGACGCGCACCAGTGCACCAAGCTGTACGAACTCTCCTGGAGGATGTGTCTCAGCAATTTCCAGACCATCAGGAAGAATGAAGATTTCCTCCAGCTGCCCCAGGACATGGTCGTGCAGCTCCTGTCCAGTGAAGAGCTGGAGACAGAAGACGAAAGGCTCGTGTACGAGTCTGCGATCAACTGGATCAGCTACGACCTGAAGAAACGCTACTGCCACCTCCCCGAGCTGCTGCAGACAGTGAGGCTGGCTCTCCTGCCAGCCATCTATCTCATGGAGAACGTGGCCATGGAGGAACTCATCACCAAGCAGAGAAAGAGCAAGGAGATTGTGGAAGAGGCCATCAGGTGCAAACTGAAAATCCTGCAGAACGACGGCGTGGTAACCAGCCTCTGCGCCCGGCCTCGGAAAACCGGCCACGCCCTCTTCCTCTTGGGAGGACAGACTTTCATGTGTGACAAGTTGTATCTGGTAGACCAGAAGGCCAAAGAGATCATTCCCAAGGCCGACATCCCCAGCCCAAGAAAAGAGTTCAGCGCGTGTGCGATTGGCTGCAAAGTGTACATTACTGGGGGGCGAGGCTCTGAGAACGGAGTCTCGAAAGATGTCTGGGTTTACGATACCCTGCACGAGGAGTGGTCCAAGGCTGCCCCCATGCTGGTGGCCAGGTTCGGCCATGGCTCTGCCGAACTGAAACACTGCCTGTACGTGGTCGGGGGGCATACTGCTGCGACCGGCTGCCTCCCGGCCTCCCCCTCAGTCTCCCTAAAGCAAGTAGAGCATTACGATCCCACAACCAACAAATGGACGATGGTGGCTCCCCTCCGAGAAGGCGTTAGCAATGCCGCAGTGGTGAGTGCCAAGCTCAAGCTGTTTGCTTTCGGAGGTACCAGCGTCAGTCATGACAAGCTCCCCAAGGTTCAGTGTTATGATCAGTGTGAAAACAGGTGGACGGTGCCAGCCACCTGTCCCCAACCCTGGCGTTACACAGCAGCAGCCGTGCTGGGTAACCAGATTTTTATTATGGGGGGAGATACAGAGTTCTCCGCCTGCTCTGCTTATAAATTCAACAGCGAGACTTACCAGTGGACCAAGGTGGGAGACGTGACGGCAAAGCGCATGAGCTGCCACGCTGTGGCCTCCGGAAACAAACTCTACGTGGTTGGAGGCTACTTTGGCATTCAGCGGTGCAAAACTTTGGACTGCTATGATCCAACGTTGGATGTGTGGAACAGCATCACCACCGTCCCGTACTCGCTGATCCCCACGGCATTTGTCAGCACCTGGAAGCATCTGCCTTCTTAAATGCAACACATCCTAAAGAGAGGAGGCGAGCATGAGGTAAGAGGTTAGCTTAGCTGTCGGTGTGAGCACGTGATAGTTAAGCCAGCTGTGTAAGTTTGTATGTGGAGTGAGACGTGCCCCGTATAGCCTAGACCATCGAAGTACTACCAAAACTGTGAAAGAAAAAGCCCTTGCACTCCCAGAACTTAGTGTGTTGACCACAGCTGCAGCTGCCCATAACATAAGCCAGCGCTTCTCACCCTCTCCTGAGCCTCGGAATCTCCCGCAGAGCTTTTCAAGAACCGCCCATCCCAGAGACTCGGTTTCAGTTAGTCTGGGTGGGGCCCAGGCGTCAGTATTTTTCAGAAGTTTTCCAATGATTCTAGTGTGCAGCCAGGTTGAGAAGCCCTGGCCTCTGTTAGTAATGCCAGCTGACGTTTACTGAGCCCTCACCGTGTGCCTGGAGTGGGGCCGTGTGTCTCACGTGGATCATTTCATTAACACTCACGGCAGCCTTGTGAGGTATCCTTACTGGAGCACTTGATAGATGAAAACGCCTGATGCACACAGAGCTTGAGCAAGTCGCCCAAGGCCGTCCAGTTTAGTAGGCGGTGGGGTTGGTTGGGAAATCAGCCCAGACGGGCTGGCTCCAGAGCGTAGGTGTTTGAGCATCGTGCCGAACTGCCGCTTAGTACACTGCAGCTTCATGGTGGTATTACCATAAGAGATATTTGTAGACATTCACATTTAGCTTCCTCAAACCCTTTCTGGAATGAAGTAGGGTTTAAAAAATTGAATGCTTAAGTTTATTCCTAGTTTATTCTCTCCAAAATTATTTATGAGCTTATTTAAAAATTTTTCCCTCAAAAAATAGTCCCCTTTAGGGCATTTATTAACTTTAGAGAAATCTAGGTCTATCCTTGTAAAAGGCTACAAATCTCGGTCTGTCCTTGTATAGATTTGTCTGATGTTCGGACACCGAGCTGTCTAAAATGCCCTCACTGTGGCTTTTTGGAGTTAATCAGTCAGGCTGACCCTATTGTCGGGGCTAACAAAAGTTGTGTTGCTGTGTCATATATCTGAGTACATAATGGTTGTCTTGTGTACTTAAGAGTATATAATACTCTTGGCTCAAATAATTAATAGGCCTACACAGTTCAGTGTTCACAAAGCTAATGGCCGCTTAGCTGCTGTTGAGCATTCTGAGGATTGGCCCCAGGAATCACTTAAGCATGTCTCAGTGTAGACACAGCACACGGAATGTGTTGATTTGTTTTGATGATTCTTGGGCTTATTAGTAATAATAAGAGAATAAAATTAAAGCTCTGCTTTGGGGGGACTACAATGAAAACTAACTCATTAGTTGGAAACTTTTGGCTCTGTTTTCTCTAGTATGTTTCACACCTTTGAAGGAGGCTTTCAAAGGGAAACAAAGAAATCTAGGGGGTCGTTGCAAGCTCAGCAAAGAGGGGTTTTGACTCATTTGTCTTTTCCTTCCTCATCTCTTGCAGCTTATTTAAAACACCATGAAAATTGACCTCGTTTCCCATTTAGTCTTTCTGTTTTTTTCGTTTCCTCAGTTATCTCCTCCAGCCTACTGCAGTTAGTAGAGTTCTTAGTAATAGAGTGTTTCCTTGGAATGCAACTCCTTCAAAGGAGCAGGAACAGCCAGAAACCTCCTGGGGAGCGACCAGGCTGACAGCATCCCACACCAAACTGGTTTTTGCAGCCCTGCTGGCATCTCAGTAATCCTGAATAAACAAGCGCTCTGAGAGCGGTTATTTCACGTGCGATATGAGTGCCTGACTCAACTCTGAAGCAGGTTCAGGAACCTCCTAGGCAAAAGCACCGATGAACAGCACACAGAATTGGGTGTTAGGCCAGAACTGACTCTATCTGCATAGGAGAGCCATGAAAATTGTCAGTGCTGGTGCTGGGACATCAGAACGGTAACTGGTAGACTGGCTGGCACCCTGGCAGCCAGGCAAGGAACTTGAGGCAGAGAGAGAGATCCCGTGTGCATTCTGGGTCTCGTTCTAAGCTGAGGAGTCTGTAACCTTTCTGGACTTCAGACTGCTTCTTTGTCAAATGAGTGATTTGAATTATCCTTCCCCTAGATCTGGGTCAGTTCAGACTTAGGTGAATGATAAATGAGGAAAAAAAGAAGAAAGAGGTGAAAATACCTGCCCAGTGCCTGGCGTATATTAAGTGTTCAATACTCTTAGTTTTCTTTCCTCCCTTCAATTTAGACCGCAGCATGCGAGGAAATTCACTTTGTGTGTGGTGGGAACATGCGGTTTCTCTATTATCTGCTTGTGATCTTTATACTTCATTTTTGGTGCCTCCTTTCTCAGCCCAGAGTGAGTATGTTGGCAGACACTTGAATTCACCCTGTCCGGGGTATTTGAACCTAATCACACACTTCCGGTCTCTGGGAAACGGAGCAAGTCAAGTGTTAGGTTATATGTGAAACAGCATCCTCTCCGCCCTGGGGCTGCCAGCCAGAGAGTCAAGCACAGAACAAGGAAATCTGACAGGGCCAGGTTTGCCTTCTTCAAGGGCAGCGGGGGCCTGATCAAAGCCACTCGTGCGGTTTCTGACAGGCGGAATGTTGGTTTAGATTTCTGAAGTTTACTACACACTAGATAGTGTTAGAACACTTAAGCTGGATGGAGTGACTTAAAGGAGGTGCCCTGTAGGAATCCATCCTAAACTGCAACAACTTCCCGACTTCTCTTTGCTCCAGATGTAGGTGCGAACTGGATTAATCCAGTGTTAACAGAGAGCGTCCCTGGGTCTCAAAGCCCAGCCACCAAAGAGATTGTAACCGTCTCCTGCTGCTCTGTCAGTGGGGGGAGGGACAGAAAGGAAATTACTTCTGATTGCTCTCCATTTTCATGGTGCTGTGTGGCCCCAACCTGACAGCATTTGAATTTTGATTTGTTTCTTCCCTTTTTAGAGTTTTTCTTTCTTTCTTTTTTTTTCCTCTTTGAATATGTAACATCTTGAAATTTCACAGTATTACAAGATACATTCTTTTGGCCTAATGTTGATATATAGGTTACAGTGAGGTGGGGGCGGGGGATGACACCGAAGTCTAAGGAATGCCTTGAAAGCTTGAGTCACTGTTACGAAACTGCCAAAAGAAACAACTAATGAAATGAATCAGACTTCTGAGCACACAAAGGCGAGAAGAATTCAGTGCAAGTAATGAGCGGCCCCTCCGGAAGTCCCTTTGTCTGTACTTAGAGTTACGCAAGGGGGATGCAGATTCCTACACAAGGGCTGGAAGCCTGCTGCAAGGGCAGGTAGGGTGAGTGTTGGAAAGATATACACAATCTCCGCATGTGAGATTAGACTCCAGCAGATGGGGAGGATGGGTCATGAGAGGAAATGCCAGCTCCCATGAGCCAGTGTGCAGGCACCTTGAACTTACATGCATGCTCGACGTCGGCAGATGCTGTAGATAATAACACTGCATACCATAGCCGGTGTCTCCCTAGTGTGGACTGATGAACTTAGAGAATAAACTCCAGCCTTGGGCTGATGAGGCCTCATATGTTGTCATGTGGAAGGAGGAGAGACTGATTTCCGCCGTAATGAACAGAAGAGATGCATTTAAATAAGAGTATTACTATGTCTGCCTTCTATGTGAATCAATGTGATTTGGAATCCTTTCTGGTCAATGGGCCAGGGAGGGTTGGCACAGGAATCTCTTGACCCTCTGTTGATAACTTTCCAGTGGCTCTGTTTAACCAGGGAGAGGAATGATGAATGTTGGAAGCAGGAGATGGCAACTCATAACAGCACCTGGATGCATGTATAGGTTTGAATTTGGACATATGTATGTTTGGGAAAGAAGTGCAGGTCCTTCTCTGGCCACCATTGGTTTTGTTGGGCCAGCTGTCTGTATGCATGTATGCACATGTGTGTGCATCTAAGGCAAGCCCTTTAAATACCTTTGCACAGTTCCTACGGAACGTGTAATTAAGACCTGTAGAAGCAACATTGACCAGCTCTGTCCTGAGTTTAATTATCTTTTTAGATTTTGAGGCTGCTAACAAGTCTTTCTTTTTTTCTGTTTTAGCTCACTCCATCACTCACTGAGACAAAATGAGATTTCTACTTTGGAGAGGCCAAATTTAATGAAGAGACAGAAAAGTTGCTACAAGGCTCCAAGTCAATCAGCTGCACCTTGTAATGCTCCAACTGGACATGAAGGAAGGGGGTGGGGGAGGGGTGGGATTCTCCTTGCTAGTGGCACATGGTTTAAATAGGAATGAATGAACCTGTGATCTAGTCCTTGTCTTGTACTTGTGGGTTAATGTCAGCGTTAATCAGCCCCTCAAAGGGAGAGAAAAGCCGGACCTTTTCCCTTGCTGTACCATATTCAGCATTTGATTTCCACGGGCTCCACCATTGATATGTAAAATTTGAAATGGTTGTCACCTCTCTCTGAGGAGCAAGCTTGAAGCCTCCACACCAGCTGCTGTTGGAGATTTGAAAGCTCAACCGTGGGGCCAGGAGGGAAGCTGGCGTGGCTGGCTGCAGAGTGGGGACCACTGGACTCTCCGCTAATCTCTGAGGGGCTGTGCTCCCCCCGAAGGCTTCGGAACAATGGGGACATTGTTGGTAATCCTTTGGTAGATGTGTGTTTCTATTTATAAGTGACTTGCAACTTTCCCTTGGCTCTTAAGAAGTTTGTTATAGATTTAGCTATTTATTGTTTGATGCCTGCATGCTGAAACAATGCTTACGGTTGTCTTCACGTGTATGGACATGTGTGAATGGTTGTACATTTTGCACAATTTTGTGACTGTTGTGATGTGCTTTGCACAAAAATGAAAACTTTGGAGTTATAATTAGGAATATAACTGGAGGGTGGGTTGGGAAGGGGGGGATTTTGTAAATGTCAAGACAGGGAAGGATTACAAGATGGAAACTTAAGTTACATCGGAGAGGTAGAGAAAGCCTGGAGGCCACTCTTCTTAGACTCTGCAGTTCTAATGGGGTTTCTTGGGCTCTGGTCATGCTGATGGCTCGTGGGTGAGGGGAGGCTTCTTTCTGCCCTTCTCCTTCTTATCTGATCCTCTACTTCAGTCTCAGCTACTGACATTTAGAAAGGACCAAATCGCTTTGCAGTTTTTTTGTGTAATGTCCTGAAATCCTGGAAAATTCTATGTAATAGTTCTGTATATAGGGCACAGGTAGAGGCATTGTCCAAAGTTTATTTATTTATCTATTTATTATCCTATGAGAATTCCTTGCCATAACCACAGTTAATGGGAAAAAAACTGAATTATCACAGATGTAAATTAATTCACTCACCGGATTTGCTTGACCTGGATTCATTGTTCTCTCTTCTTGCCGTATAGTTTAGCAAGTGTAGGGGTTCTCCGAGTCAGTCTTCACGTTGGGACAATGTGTACTTAGTGCTCACCCTTAGGTAAATCTCTAAAAGAACTCTTTGGTGCGCAAAAGTGACACATTTGGCCACAGAACACCAAAGAATTGTAAGCAGTGGCCCCTGTTGAGAGGGTTTCAGGGCTGGGTGGGGTCGGTTGTGAATACGTTCTTTGCTAGTTCAAGTGCTTGTGCTGTGGTAGGTGTTCGTGCTAGACTCAGCTCGGGCTTCCTCAGGGGCGCCGGGGGAAGGCCAGGGCTTGCAGCTCACGCTGCTTTCATCCATGTCGCTCGTATTACTGTCCTTTTAGAAAATAGGGTTTAAGACTGGTGACAACCTTTTACATTGTGAGTGTGTTTGCATTGTCTGATGACAGATAAATCCTTAACATTTCTCTCCACCTGGCTACTTCAGACTAATTGTATGTGTCCGTCCGTGCCATGAATAAGTGGGCTGTAGTTGGACCAAAATAAATGAGCTGTTGGAATAAAAGAATCACAATACTTTCCAGCAGTCAGCCCCTGGCCCCTAGATGTGTTCTAAGCAGTGCACATGTCTCATCATCCGCGGGCGGCATGGTCGGTGTCGCTATATTGTAGCGGTTACAGCTCTGTAGTTTGTGATGCAAATCTGCCCGAGATCTGTGTGTCATCGCATGGCTTCTCAAAGCTCCACGAATTTTCTGCAGCTGTTTCAAAGTTGTGCTCTGTCCTTGAATCCTCTATTAATTACTGTGTGTGAGCCCGAGGGAGCTGTGGTCAGGGTGGGCCCCCAGCCTGCAGGGAACTTTCTGGAATCCCACTCTTTGAATTGATGTAGGCGTTGGGCTCACGACTTGACCGTTCTCACCCTGTGAAATGTCCCACACTTTGAAGCAAATACAATTCACAGCACAGTGCACACAAAAACCTTGGCATAAGACAGAGAAGGTTCTTCTTATTCTGTGGACTGGTTGCCGTGGCAACGGAGAACAAAGGGCAGCCTTCCACTTCTGGTATAATTGTGCAGCCCCTTTTTCTCTGGGCTTGACACCTGTCTGAATAGGAATGATTAGAGCTGAATAATATCCCTCTCTGGGCTGTTGAATATGTGGTTCACGTACGAAACTCTGTGTAAGTTGAAGAAGTAAAGTGTTCGTGTTCATATGTCGTTGTTTGCTACTACTACATTTTTGAGGTTTTGTAAAACTGTTATTTTTTTTTCACAATGTGAAGCTGAAGGTCGAATAAATTATTAGAGATTTTCTCTTCATTGTGTGTATGGGTCTTTATTTGAATACAACATCGTTTTAGGCATTGAAAATTTGTGCCTTTTCTAGTTTAATCAAAAGGAGGATCATTTTAAATTTTTCTGAATGTCTTATATTTCACCATTTAGTCACATACATTTATGAAAGCAGTTTTGCATGTTAAATTTAAAATTTTGACCTTTTAGAATATTTCCTTAAGTGAAGTAAAATACCTCAATTATGGGTTATTCATAGCTTGGAATATAAAAAGTCGTACCATGCGAGGTTGACTGCATACTTAATATAGAGAAGGACTTTAGTTTTTGTATTCCTCATGTGGGTTATATTTTGATGGGAAAGCTGTGAGAGTTCAATCCTCTTTTCATCTGATATCACCTTAGAAATCGTTTAAAGTAAGTGGAAATATGTGCATATTATTTTCCTATGAAGGCACAGAAAACCACAAGTTGAACCCCTCTGATACACTTAGCTTCTTTCAAGTTGAAAGCTGCCGTCCCATCTGGCTCAGCATAAAGCCGGATGCAGCCTCCAGCCCCCACATCGTGATCGATTCATGTCACCATGAGATGCTCCTTTATCACTTGGGTTGGACCTCTTGTTATTTTAACGTGCAGAGCAATGTTGGGCATAATCTTTTTTGGATAGAAAATAAATGCTGCCTAATTAGAACTCACAAGTAGGCAGAGTGCAGTTACGGCCTTTGGACCTTGGCCAAGAGGCCAGAGCAGATGCCTCAGGTTTTACAGAAGGGTCATTTAGGTCCGTCCTGGACGAGGCTGGGCTAGAGCCACGTCTGAGAGCAAGAGTCTGAGTCCTCAGATCCCAGGTCCATGATGCTGATGACCCACGGAAATGCTGTTGATGACACCACATGTGATACCATATGACAGGGAAGAGGGGAAGGTTAGCAGTTAGAGGTTGATACATGGGACGGATATTCAGAACAAGACTTGATGTTAATCCTCAGAAGGTTGACAGGGATTCACACATAGAGATGATTGGGAACCGACCTTTCATTCTCTGGGGTTCTTTTTCTTTGTCATCTCAGTTGGGATAGGTAGACAGATTGGAGTAAAGAAGATACTTGACATGCTTTTCATTCATTTGTAAATTTGGTTTCCTTCGGCATTCAGATCACCTGCATTGTGGCTGCAGATCACCTGCATTGTGGCTGCATCGTTGGGGTTGCCTTGGGCTGCATGTAGTAGAGATCTGGCCACAGTGGCTTAACCACAGAGGTGAAACCGTCTGGAGGCTGCAGTCCAGGCCTGGGACAGCACCCCGACAGGGCCGTCGGGTCCTGGGCTTTCCTGTCTCTGCTTTGCCATCCTGGGCTTGGGCCTTCTGTTCTCCTGCTCACAGGATGGCGGCTGTTCCTCATGGCATGACCTGTGCTTTCCAGGCAGCAAAGGGGGAACATGGGAAAGCATGTGCCAGATGAAGCTCTTCCTTTTTCTTGGGACCGTAATAGTTTCCCCAGAAGGCCCACCTAGGAGACCTATACTTATCTCTTCTGGCAGGACTAGGCCACATGAACTTCCAAAGAAACAAGGGAGACTAAGAGGACTACTTTTACGGGGGCACATTGTCACCCCACATAAAAATGTGATTCCGGCAGTAAGGATGAACGAAGAGACGTTGGATGGGTTGCTGCCCAGGGCCTGTTACCTGGATAGTCAAAGGGTCACTTTGGACAATGGTCCCAGACTCAGTGATTACCATGTGCTGGGGACGGCACTAAGGACATGCTTTCCTCACGTGTTTAACCCTCACAACAAATGCAGGGAAGTGCAGAGAGGCTTCTTGACATCTCTGAGCCTCTGCTCCTTCTTCGGCAAAATAAGGATGATTAACAGTATCTACCTAATAGAAAGACCCAATAACATACATTAAGGGGAAGCACCAAGCTCCGTGCCCGGCACAGAGTAGGTTCTCAGTAGTTGTCAGCTGTCATTTGTAAACACCACTGGGAGAAATCCATCCAATAAAGCTAAATCTGAGTGCCTGTGCTGTGCAAGGAGTTGTGCTGAGGTTTCCATGCCCGTTGCCTCATTTCATCCTCACAGCAACGCTATGAGCACAAGCACTATTATTACCCACATTTTGAGACGAAGAAACGGGTTTTAGAGTAGAGATGAGGGTGATTTTAGAGAGAAAAATTATGTTCCAGTAGCATACCTTTGTGGATATTAGATTCTAGTTCTGTTAATTATCTTTGAGGTTTGTGTTTTCTACCTGTAAACTAGACTGGATTCTGAATTCTTCTAGTTGCCCCAAATATCTGGCTACAAATTTCCAAACTGGTATTTTCAATTTTTTCCCATCCTTTTGATTTGGAATCACTGAGAACTGAAACCACCCTTTTTCCTGAAGCCCTGCAAACTGAAGCTGAACAACTTGGCGTGATATAAACTTAAGACAGATCCCCACAATAAAAAAAAGAAAAAAGAAAGGTTTTAGAGATCCTCTAACTTGCCCGAGGGAGTGGTGGGGCCTGGTTTTCAAGGCTCACTCTCCAACCTGCTCCTTTCTGCCCAGGAATGTGGAGGAAGGTGGTTCCCGGGGCTGAGCCCGGCTGTGGGGAACCCAAGGCTGTCCCGGTCCATCGTGTCTGGGAAGACTGGACTTCAGGAGAATTCCAGGGAGGCCTGGAGCTGGTGAGGCCCACCCCTGGACATGAGAACTCAAGAAGCACATGGTAAGAGTCCATGGAGCAACTCAGAATGTTCCTTGACAACAGGTTTCTGAAAGTAAGATTGTGGAGAATTTAAAGATAAACGGGGGCCCCTGAGTGGTTGCTAAATTTGATAATTCCCTCAGCTTACACTTAAGCTGTGGCGCTTTTTTGTTTGTACGATGTTTATTGACTGAGAGATTGAAAATACAAATGGTCGATGGCCAGATCATATACAGTCATGTGTCATGTAACGATGGGGACATGTTCCGGGACATGCGTGATTAGGCAATTTTGTCATTGTGTGAACATCACAGAATGCACTTACACAAACCTAGATGGTACAGCCTGCTACACACCCTGGCTGTATGGTACTAATCTTACGGGACCACCGTCGGTTATGCGGTCCGTCGTTGACTGAAACGGTGCTATGTGGTGCATGACTGTGTAAAAATGGAACTCTGACCCATAGCTTGCACAATCAGCCCAGGAAACCCAACTCATTTTCTCCAGTAGCCAGCCTAGGAAGCCAGCCTTGCAGGAAGTCAGGCCACTATCTCCACTATCTCTAGCAGCTGGTCCGGGAAGCCAAACAATGACCCCTGTAACAATTGGCCCCAAACAGCTAGAACTGATACCTTCCCTAATTTTTGTCCTTGCTTCCAACTTAGGACCAACCAGAGGAAGCCACGTGTGCACCCCTAACCATAAATAGGATGCCTTGCTTCTAGTTTGCCTGGCTGCAGCTTCCTCCAACAGGGGCCCACCCGAGCCTTCCCTTTCTCTGAGAGAAAGCTTCCCCACTCCTCTGCCTGCCTGAGTCCCTGCCAAACGCGAACCACAGTGGCTGACTGTCTTGCTATAGCAAGCTCTGAATAAAGAGCCTTTGCCTGTTCTCATTTGGCGGATCTTTGTTTATTTCCACAGACAAATGTTTGTTCAATAAAATAATTAAATATTTCAATAAAAAGGTTCATAAAAATGAAGTGGGAACCAATATTGCGGGTTCCAGGCAAGCTGGGCTTTCCAAAGGATGCTGTTTTCATCCTGAATGTCAGAGTAAAATGAAATGTACACAATACATATAGCATGAGAAAAATGGATTTTGAGTTAATGGGGTTGAGATTGGGGCATCTGGTTTGCCAAAAGGAGAGAAGTTGCTTTGTTTGGGAATATTGTGAATAAAGTGAGAACACTTAAATAAGTTTTATGGCCATACTTATGGTACACATGAATGTATGAATAAATGCAAAAACGTAGCAGTTAATTCCCGGTCTTGCCTGTCACCAATCTTAAGTGCTCTGCCTGTCTGACACATACTCAGACAAGCCATCTGTCCTGCATTTGAGTTTAATCATAGACAATGAATTTTAAAGCTCTGTTATTTGTCAGACATTGGACAACTAAGTGCAAGATCTAACTTTCAGAGGGAAAAAAATATACGTTAAGGCATGACTATGAATTAAAAGCAATTTGACTAAGTAAATTATAAATCTACCATAATCTCATCCAGCTCTGTTTACAGCCCAGCTTGCTTTGTGAGTCTGGGGAAAACCAAATGAGACAAAGTTTCTCTTTCCCTCTCTCTCTCTCTCCCCCTCTCCCTCTCTCTCCCTCCCTCCCTCCCTCCCTCCCTCTCTCTCTCTCT